TCATCTGTTTTAACCAAGTAGAAAGTTTGATGTGTTCTCTGAGTTGGTTCTCAGGTTTATAAATGCATTTCTGTCCGTTTGAATCTATTTTAAACACTTTTCACCAGTTTAATGAGTCTTCTGTTTATTTTTATAGAGCCCATTTTAAAGCAACTTTATTTGAGCAGTGTTGTGTCTACAAGCTGTAAAACATTACATCTTTTTAGAAATGCATCAGCTATAAACATGAAACATAAGTAATAAAACAATCACATAAATTAAAAATGGAAACTTTTTCAGTAAAAGCAGAACTCAGTTTTAACCTGTTAAACCCCAAAACAACCAGATTAGTAAAGTGTGTCTTGTGCACACATGCAGATGCAGACACACATCTCTTGTATTGTAAACAAGTCATTGTAGCTTTTTCATAACTGTTTTATGACACAAGTGGATTTAATGTCTCTTGTTTTGTCCTCACAGGCATCTTCATCGTGGAGCGTCCTGCGACTGCAGGGGCCCCTGAGGTCATCCGGATTCTCGATGAAGATGAAGGTAGGTACCCAGCCCTTCACATTCCTGATGATGATGTGTTTGTGGGTCATGGTCAGGCCCCTCCAGTAGAGGCAGAGTTTGCTATTGAGGGTCTGTGGTCAGCTTTAGAAGGTTTTATGGCTTCTAGTGAGGACTCTGGTTATGGTAGCTCAGTTCTGGATAGCGATGAAGACCAGCAGGTTCCACCACTAGAAGACTTCTGGCTGGCGGTAGCTCCTCCGGTCCCGCCGGAAGAGCTTCCAGAAGATCCCAGGCCTGCCCACGGGAGCGCTGAAGAGGTCCAGGAGATAGAAGAACCCACTCCTTCAACCTCGGTCCTTGGATCCAGCCAGAAGAGGATGTTAGCGCTTCCCGTATATCCCACCGAAGAGACCAAGATGGGACGACTCGGACTCAGACTAGAGATATATTTTTTGTTCCAGTGCAGCGTCACTGAAGATCATTTTTTTCTTTCTTTCTTGAACTGGTCGACTGGAAACGTTTGTCTCAGGTAGCTTGTTGCACCAGGACTGTTTTTTTTACCAGGTCACCAGATGTTTGTTTTAGTCACCAAGTGTTTTATCAAGTCATCTGAACTGGTGATGACTTAGGTAGCGTCTGGCACCAGGACGTCTTCATCCGTTGGCTGAGTTTAGTGTTTTATCATTTAAGATGTGTGTTTTTGGAGCTGGTAGAAATGGAGATGCTGATGTGGACGGTTTCACCTGGGCTTCTGTGTCTGGTTGCTAAATCTTCTATTTTATTTTGGTTCTGAGAGCATATCCTTTCATCTGATGGAGCAGGCAGTCTGGTTTACACACACATGGAGCAGGCAGTCTGGTTTACACACACATGGAGCAGGCAGTCTGGTTTACACACACATGGAGCAGGCAGTCTGGTTTACACACACATGGAGCAGGCAGTCTGGTTTACACACACACACACACACACACACACACACACACACACACACACACACACACACACACACACACACACACACACACACACACACACACACACACACACACACACACACACACACACACACACACACACACACACACACACACACACACACACACACACACACACACACACACACACACACACACACACACACACACACACACACACACACACACACACACACACACACACACACACACACACACACACACACACACACACACACACACACACACAAGTATATGATATTCTGACGATCACTAAAAGGTGTAAGCCTGGAACACAAGAGGCCATCGGAGCAAACAAGATCCCACCTGAGATGGATGGAGAGAGGTGGTAGAAGATAAACAAGAGACCAAGGAGGGCAGGAAGATGGAGGCAAAACTACAACTACAGTGATGCTTCTGATAATCTGGTAGAGCAGATAGAGCAGGTCTTAGTGAGAAATGGGACGTTTACTTGGTGACATGAGCATAAGCTGGGGTGATCTTTGATCTGTATGAAAGACAAGGACGATAACATCATCTTCATCATAACATCATCTTCATCATGTCCTTTCTGTTTCACTAACTGTTCTGTCACAAGAAACTGTTCTAAATATCTGTAGAAAAGTTTGATTCCAGGTTTAGGAGGAGCTCTCTGTGTCTGTTTGTGTCCTCACGTCCTGCTGGACCGAGCTTCTCTGGGCTTTGTGGTCCTGCAGGAACCAGGAAGGAGCTGAACAGCAGCGCTCTGACACAGACGGAGCAAACAAAGGTTTTAGTGTTTAAAGAGCAAGTCACCCCAAATAACCTTTTTTTTGCTGATAAACTAAAGAAACGAGTGTCTAATCGTGCTGCAGACACGTGCCATCAATAATTTGGCACTTCGGTGCATCTTAGTTAAAATTTAAATATTCTGCCTAAAACTGGCAGTGTTGTGCCGTTGTCAGGTAAAAACTCTGCATTGTATTCTAATTTAAATCTGCCACCGCTATTGGCTAAGAGGTATGCTATGATGTAAACTGGTAGATTATGATGTCACAATGCCTGTGTGTGTGTGTATTTGTTAGCAGCTCCGCCCCCTCGGTCTGCCAGGCAACAGCATTTGTTGCATTTTTCAAACATGAAGTGGGAGTGGAGTTAGAATCTGGTAGGGGTTGACTTGCTCTTTAAATGTGCACGCGTTTAAAATTAGCTCTTTACAAAAGTTAAACAATAAATACTAAAATATTAAAGGCTAATAAAATATAGTCTAAACATGTAAATGATTCAAATTAACTTGAATATTTTAACAAGTTACTGTGCTGTTAAATTAAAGCAATAAAGACTCAGATTATTTACATTCAACATAACTTTAAGATTCACCGCAGAACAAAATTACGATGCGTTTGACCGCGACTAAAGAACGGATAAACATCATAAAAGAACGAGAAGTTAACGAAAAGCATAAAAGTCAAAGGAGGCTCTAAATCTGTAAAACGTTTATAAAATACTAAAATGAATTTAATTAGAAATAATTATTTATTCTGACGGTTTCTTTTTTCCTGCTTCAAGACAGAATTTATGTTCCAACATTAAATGCTGTGTTGATGCAGGTTTTGCTTTACCGTCTCCGGTCGCCCAAAGCAAAAGGCTCTGGTAACGGAACTCTCAGTAATGAGACGGGGTTTGTTGGATTGAGTGTCTACAGGTGTAAGTTATAATGAATGAACTCATGTCCGAATAAAAGGACGGGTAAGGCTCCACCCACTGTGTGGAAAAGGACTGTCTGTCACAAGCGGTAGCAGATGGCGGAGGTGCAGTGGTGGAGTCCCCCTTCATGAAAGAAGACTGTATGATTCTCTCATTTGCTACCACTCAAATTCCAGTACAAGGGCGCAGCCCGAAAGCGACTCTGCTAACAGGTTATGGGCCCAGGTGAGCGGCGGAAGGAATCTGCAACCAGAGAAGGAAGGACGGCGTACCTGAATCAGCGAGTCACCAGCAGGTGTGAGGAGTTTGACACAGATTGAGTGAGTGAGCGTCTTTACGCACCATGAGAAGACACGCAGCAGAGTCGGGGAGTCGATATTCCCGTTTGCAATTTGATGGAGATGAAAGAAAGTATGAACTATGGGAAACTAAGTTCCTCGGTCATCTCCGATTGCAAGGCTTGAAAGATGTCATCTTAAAGTCGGAGGTGCCTGAAGGTGAGGAAGAAGATGACGAAGACACTGATAAGAACGCCGAAACATATGCGGAGTTGATCCAATTTTTGGATGATAAAAGTTTATCGTTAATCATGAGAGAATCTACAGTTCTCCACCGTCCATGACAGGGAGATCAGGTGTTTTCTCTTGCTGCTAAACCTACATGTAGCGTTTAACATTCCTAATAAAATTGTTTATTTTTAGGTTCGACACTGGTTGGATTATAAAAATTGGAAGAGGGTTGATTACTTCAAGAAGCCTAAGGTGGGACTACATTCATACTCAAAGATTCATTCCTAAATTTCGGTTTCCTCGGGATGATAAGCTCTGGTTCTGGTTTTCCCACAGGGTCAATTCTCCATCGGGTATTGTGATTACGACCTCAGACTGTGTCACGAGACAACTGTAGACATTTTTCACACAAAACACACAAAGAGTATGAGATGCTAAAATTCATTTGTAACTCAAGAAATTGTATTTACTTACAATGTATTGGATTGCCTTAACCTGACTGATATAAGCACCTTTAAATTAATTTGGTGTCTTTTGTGTTTTGTGCATCTGTAAATGTCCTGTAAAAATGTTTTTACTGGTTTGTTTTACTGCTGTTGGAAAAAAAAGGTTTTTTTTAAGTGCCTTAAAGGCATAGTCCGTAAGATGACACCGTCAGGGTGAAGAGATTTTTAAATTCGAACGGCTGTTGCTCACTCCCCCGCCCTTCCTGAAAGAGCCGAAAGCCACACCTGCTAATGTGCACGCGCAGAAAAAGCCGAGTCAACACCAGAGCATTGCTTCTTTGTAATAGAGCTGAGGTAGTGTTAGCAGTAGTTATCTGAGGTAAGAAAGTTGTTTTTAACCAGCACATTAAACACTTATTGTTTACAAAAGGCATTTTATAAAGAATATCTATACATATATTTTAAAATACCAGTGACAGTTGACAATCTATATTGTAAATAAAATCAATCCTATCAAATTGTTAGCATTTATTACGAGTAATTAGCTTATTTTTAATTGCTTTGCCATTCATGATGGGATGAATATATCAAAGCATAAAAATAATTTATGTGGAAATCATGAATAAACACTGCATTCTGTGTAGCCCTCCTATAATCATGGTTGTTTTCATAGTTTGTTTATTGTTGGTTTAGCCCAAATTTGGACTAGATGTAAACCTGATCTGTGTCAAAGTTGATGAATATGCTAGAGTAATTTTTATATTAGTATAATTATTTAAAAATTCTAATACAATTTAGATTTCAGTGATTGAGGAATCCTCTGAGGAAGTTTGAACCTCCCATTGCATCCTCAAGACGTGGTGCAAAAAGGAGATGCCCACAATCATCTCAAACCCTAACCTTAACAGGAAACACAAAAATAATGTTTTGGGTTTTCTCTTGCCTCCCCCAACACCTATGTCTGTGGCAAAGTTTTACCTGTAATTAAAAAATAAACTCAATTAGCAATAGACTATTGTGTGGAAGATGTAAGGCAGATAATGTTTTATTTTACCATCACCGCAAGTCCGTAGGTGTTGTAGAAGTTCCTCTGTTGATGGTGCAGGGACTCTGGACAGCAAACCGTAACGCCTTGGATCCTCAGGCCTTAGCTTGTAGCGTCGAGGAAGACCTTTCTTGCTTGTCAAACGTTGGTTGACGATCATGGTTTGGATCTCTGGGATGTAGGAGTAGTCTTTTGCCACCTTCTCAGAATACAGCCTCCAGCATCTAGATTTTTTGTTGAATATTTTATGGTATCTGAAATGACACATGCCATAACTTGTAGTATCCAACAAATTAGCTGAAAAAGTGTTTTAAATTAAATGAAAGGAATTACCTTATGTGTATTTAAGGTGTGTCGTCCTCATCACCGCTGTCCATCTAGATGGTTTTGTCCTCCTCTGAAGACGAATCAACTTCTGGTTCTCTGGTGGCCATGTGCCATCTGATGACTATCCTGAATACACACAAAAAAAAAGTTTTTAGTATGGAAAATTAGACACATTTTGTTAACATCTGAATACTTGCACAGTTTTGAATATTATTGTACTCTTCCTCGTCAATGTTTTTTCAATTCCCACACAAGATAACCTACAAAAGTAATTATTGGTTACTTTTCCTGACAAATGTGACAGCCGTATACAGACAAATCCTTATACTTACATTTGTGAAGATCCTTCATTTTCAGTTTCACCTTGTTCCATCACCTCCTCCAAATTATCATCCCTATGAAAATAAAATACAAGCACAAGAATATGATTAGAATCAATACATATTTTATCATTTTGAAGGTAATAGACCTCGTCTATTGGGCGTCATCATCACCCTCTTATTTTTCTCCCTCTACTTATCACGCATTTCTTTGTATCCACTGAATTCCTTCTTTACAAATAATTTCCTGTCTATTTACATTTTAAAAACACGTTATTTTTTTCTCATAAGCTTTGTTTAAAATAAAAATATAAATTTTTATTTTAATATTTTTAATTTTGTTGTGAAGCGCCTCAAGAGTTTTATCTTGAGAGGCGCTATATAAAATATAGTTTTACTTATTTGTTTCTATACATTTTTTATAGTCATTCGTTATCCCATTTCCAGAATATCTTCAAAATAATCCACCGCTAACTTAAAACAGAGGCAAAACAGCTGTTCCACCGTTGGCCAGATGCTGAAAAAACGCATATATCTGGCTTTGTTGAAGTTTCACAAATGAGGGACAGGTTTCACAAATCCCACACTGTGTTTTATTTTATCTGCTATTATAGTAGAATAATCTAGAACAGGTTTGAACAGTGTGGCTGTTGTAGTTTGTGAGCTAGAGCAGATTAAAGATGGCCAGAGTAGAGAAAAATTGGATGTATTGGCCCTTTAGCCGTTTCCCGAATCGGAAGCTAACTTCAGCCTCGTACTGATATGGCTTATAGTTAAACGCCACACTAATCATTAGCTCCCATAAAAATACAACTAAAATCCCCTTTCATTACTCAAACTTCTTCCAAATATAGCATAAATAGTTCAAGACTAACATCGATTCATGTTGACTTAGCATTCAAGCTATTGCTACATTAGCCAATAGGTCACTAAGCATACAAAGCTTGTTTGCTCTATTACTTCTTTCAGTGAAAGAAAGAAGTAAATTTATCCGAAAAACAATAACTTACCTGTCCAAAATATACTTTGCCAACTTCATCCGATTTCAGGCCGCGTAGATCACGAAACAGTGAGCCGATGAGGCGCGTGACACTGTTGTGCTTGTGCATGCTCACGCTGAGATCTAATGCTCGTTCTCGATGATTGACAGCTGCCCCTGGTGGTAATGCAGCGCTATTGGTCAACGCGTTAGGCTTGCAGAAATATTGGCTGAGCTGTACAGGGCAGGGGAGGGACTTAGGAGAAAATTGAAATATTAAAGAATATTTACTTTTTTAAATAAAATTGGGTCAGATGGTCAAAAACATTTTTAAAAGTTATTCTACATTTAAATCTTACGGACCGTGCATAAAGGATGAATTATCAACATTAAAACACCTGGTTAAAACTCTGTTAAAAGTTTTACCGAAACTGAAGGAGTTTTAACAAATCTCAAAGTTGATAATAAAAACCAACGCACTACAAAAACCCTGAATGTTTTAAAATCCCTAAAGCCGGGCGTACACTGTGCGACTTTTTCACTCGCAGCGTTCAGCTTCAGCCAGTGGCGGAGCTTGATATGTGCAACATGTGCGGCCGAACAGGGCGGCAGTCTGCAGGGGGCGGCATTTTTCCTTTTTTTTTTTTTTTTTTTTCTAAAAAAATTTTTTTTTTTTAGCATCAACCAATACATAAACAAAACATAGAAATCGCATGTTCTTAATAATAATAGTGATGATAATACTAATATTTCTGTAATAAAAGCACAACAAAGTGTAACCCATATCAACTACTCCCTCTCACATGACCCACGTCAGCTGATGTGAGGTCCCTCTCCTGATTGGCTCCTTCCACGTCGCGGCAACCATGAAAGCTGCTCCTGCCGTGGCTGTAAGCTTGTTGCTTGTAGAACGGTGTTGGAAAACAAAGCGTTTTTCTCCCCTCAATTCATTTATACTCTCATTTTACCTCAGCGGTAAGTGTTCTTAACATCTACCAATAACACCCTTTTACTTGTCAGTGACCAGTCGATCGTTTTCGCTATAAAAAATGACCTTGTTCTGCGGAGTTCCCACCGCGAGCAGAACTCCGGTTCAAAAACGCTGTTTTTGAAACACTTTTATTTACTTAAGCACTTTAGTGGGCTTAATTTGAAACCAAGAGCAGTCAAATGATTATTGTTATGTGTTGCCTTGAATTCGGCTATGCTGTCTGTCAGACTGTTGTTTTCTTTTATTGTTGTTTTTATATTTGTTTGTAGCAAACGCTACTGGAATGCATAGATTGAGCTACGTAGCCAAGATGATTAATAATTGACCTGTTGTACATTCGTGATATGTTTACCGGTAAACTGAATAGAACTTGATGTGCTAATGAACACAGGGGGATCTCGCACAGGGCGCCATTTAGGCCAGCTCCGCCTCTGGCTTCAGCTCAAACTGTACGACTTCCTCGCAGAGCAGATCTCACGAGTCATGTGCTCACACTGCACGACCCAGTTCTCGCATGCGACCTGACTGCTCACACTGTACGTCTGGTAGCAACACGTCGGCCCTAAAAATGTGCTAAAAATAGCAGTTTTTACTCAACACGTCAGACTTTTTTGTCTTGCCTGTTGTCCTTCGGGAGTGCTGCAGGAGGACACACAGGGATTTATGGGGGTTGGATGAGGAAAACGAAATAAAGAAAGTGAATCTGTGTTTTGTGATCAGTTTAATTTGACATGAACACGACAAACACGCTTTCTTGACAATCTTTGTGAGTAAAAAAACGTGTAGAAACAAAAACGAACAGCGTGTGTTATTAGGGAAATAGCGAGCGACCGGCCGGCGTTGATGCAGGATTGCGCGCGCATGCGCCGTGAGCGGTTCTGATACTTTTTGGATCGTAGCTGCTCGCAGCGCCGCTTCAACAGTGCGATACCCTCACGAGGGACGAGCGAAATATTAAACACACCAGAAGTCCCTGCGACCTCACGACTGCTGATCGGCAGCTGGTCACGTGGTGTTATCGCCTCTCGTAACCCCCTGTACACTACACGACCGCTCGGCGCAAAACTCGCCCCGATGTCGTGGCTTCTCGCACGACTGGAAAATCGGCTCAAAAAAGTGAAAAAGTCGCACAGTGTACGCCCGGCTTAAGTCGGTAAACTACGTTATTAACCTTCGGACAGTTTAACTCATCAAACCAAAGCGTAAGGCCTGGAGAACAGCAGAACCCCTAGACTGCTGCCTCCCAGACTGCTGAAGGCCCAGCCTTTTTATCCCAGGTGTGGATCATTAGAGGGATTCAGCTCAGCTGTGCTCCTCAGCAGCCTGGAAGAGAGGAGAAGGAGGAGGAGGGGCGGTGTCGGTGTCAGGGACTGGCCCAAACCAGCCAGAGACGCACTACTCATGAGACTCAAAAACCTCCATTTTATTTTGGAGCAGCTTCACAGGTAACAGAAACTTTAACCCAATCACAGCACAAGACCATCTCCAGAAAACAAAAGACCTTTCAGACACACCAGGTTCAACTTAAATAGTGGCTGATCAGACCACTCTACATACAAGTGGGGAACAATTAACATACAATTAACACACACATCCTCACACACACACAAACTAACCAGTCTAATCAATTCAGGTAACTCAAATAACTAAATCATAATTACAAACTTCCTATCCATAACAGAAAACATCTACATTAAATTAAACACAAGCATAAACATGAATCTCCCCTCCCTTGGGAGTTGGTAGATCCCAGGAGTGCCGATTAGGCTTCCTGAGGAGATGAGCTGCAGGTGTGAGACTCCATGGGAAACTCCAAGTCACTGGTAACTCAAAACAGAAACACAAAATTAACACATACATTCATAAACAGAAGACTGATTGTGTGCACATCAACCAGTCATCCTGGACAGAACACAGAAAACACTACCAGCAGACCATGTCCATGAGGTGACAGACACTGCTGTCACAGTCGGGCTGATCAGCGGGGCTGGGTGATCCTGGCTCCTGCACCTGAAGAGGCCAGGCTGGTGGCCAGAGTCAATATACCAGAGAGAAACAGACCTAACAAATGGCATATTACCTCCACCAGTCATTTAGGACCACATAAAACATTCGCACTCTAAGCAGTTAAAGTTCTCTTGAAAACAAGTTGGTCAGAAAACACACAGGAGTACACAAGTTCATTTCAGAGCACACAAAGCCACAGTCAATGGGACAACAGCACAGATCTGCACCCCAGAAAGATTGAAAAGTTCTGCCTTTTAAAGGCTAAACTGTCTTGATTGTTGATTTGCTCCAGATGTGCTGCACAGCAGTGTGCCTCTCTCCAGAGCTAACTGGTCCTTAGTACTTTAATAAGTGCATAACAAACAGAACTGACGTTTCAACAGATAATCTGTCGAAACGTCAGTTTTGTTTGTTTTGCACCTATTAAAGTACTAAGGATCAGTTTGCTCCAGCCATACTTTATCCTCTATATTTTCACATTGTATCAGAAACCTTTAGAGTTTAAATGATGTGTAAAAATAAACTGTAAGATGTGTTAATGCATCAGTTGTTTCACTTAAACCCCTTTTAGACCTTCAAGCCAAGAAAAGAAAATAGCCTTTAATTTTCTTATTATTGCCATATTTATTTACAACTGTCCATCTTTGATAGGGTACAAGTGAGAAATGTAAGTAGTTTATTTACATAAATTTCCTTGCAAACTAAATCAAATATTTTTCATAAGTTTATCTGAAGGAGCTGGGGTCTCATTTATCAAGCATTGCGTAGAATCCCTACTAAAACCGTACTTAAGCTCAGCAAAAAAAATTACTTACGCCTAGTAGGTTTGTGATCTATTAAACATGGAGTACGCACAACTGCACGCAATCTCCGCTTCATAAATTAGAGACTAACGAGAAAGGTTCTCAGCTGCTTTTAGTCACATCCCGCCTTCAACATGCCCACTTTTTGCCATAAATGATCAATGCAAAGTGCCTTGTGGATCTCCTGCATACATATAAGCCGGCTCATTGAAGCACTCCACCATTAACCGCAGATCAAGGAAGCGCTATTCCACAAGCAGAAACTGAGGTACCTGTGGGTGAGGCAAAACAAATAAGAGAAAA